ACTTGTAGAATCTATGCCAGGGCGCATTTAAGCTGTTCTGGCTCGTGGTGGCCCAACTCCCTCTTAAGACACTTCATGTTGGTGTTTCCTTTATTTTGGCAGTTACCCGTACATTACAGTGTGGGAGCAGGGTTTTCTGGGTCTCTGTACTGTCCTGAAGTATTCTAACACAGATGTGCTGTGAGGTGCTGTTTCAACACCTCTCTTTCCTTTCCATTTACACCAGACTCTGGGGCTGGTACCCAGCTGGGCATCTGGTCACGTGATTTGGTCAAGAGAGGCAAATCACGTATCGGCACTAACCTACGGGCCTCTGTGTTTATGTGTGTGTGTGTGCTTGTTATTTTGTGTGTGTGTGTGTGTATGGCTCGTGCTTGTTCTTTTGTGCGCGTCCATGCATGTGTGTGTCCAGCTGCAGCAATGGCGTGTCTATCAGGAGGAGGTTGCCACATTGGAGGCAGCCATTGTTGCTAGGCAGCAGGAGGAAGAGGAGGACAGACTGAGGAGGGAGCAGGAGACTTGGCCATGAGGTCACTGCAGAAAGAGAAAGTCAAGACCACTTACTCCTTACACCCGACACTCTCCAGCATATTGCACTGTCCCCAGTCATACTATGTTTGAACGTGTTCTGTGCTCTTCAGATTCTCTGACAGTGTATAATAACAGCTTAGTATCCATTAAATGTTAGTATGTCCCAGGTTCATTTGAATGTTTTAACTCCATGGATTATAATGTTGTCAGATGGAAATGACCTATCTATGTTTGTTAGGGAACGTGTGTGTCATGATGATTTTCATTAGCTTGATTAATTGTATATTCAGCTGAATGAGGTAAAATGGTACGTGTGTGCGCCTGCGTGTGTGTGTGTGCGTGTGCGTGTGCGTGTGTGTGCATGTGTATGAGTGTGTGTGGTCCCTGACCCGCATTGCCCCTGGCATCCCCCCAGGGTGTGTAGGGGTGCCGGTCTTGTTTTTAATTGCGCCCCTCCTGTGGGGTTTGCTACAGTAGCACAGAACAGCTGTGAGAATCTCTGATTAATGATGCCGTTTAGGCTGAAATGGATTACATATACTTCTCCACAATCGTCTTGCAGACAATGAAATATTATCTCATTCATTTGATTTACTCTTATCTGATTTCGCAATGTCACAATCAATAGGACTTGAAGATATTACAGTAAAGTTTCCCTCGTGTTGACTCGCTGCGGGCATTGTTGTAAACTTTTTAGTTGCTTTGTGTTGTGAATGTTTGTTCCTCTGTATCTCAGGTGAAGCTGTATTACGCAGAGAAACAGAGGAGGAGAGAGGAGCTGGAGAGTAGAGGTCAGCAGAGACTGACAGAGCTGAGGAGACTCATGGCAGAGCAAGCTAAGAGTGATAAGGAGAGGTAAGCATGCATCATGGGCCATGACTGCAGCAGCAGCAGCTTAGCCTCAAGGACGCTAAAGGAGAGAGCTCGACACCTGACTGAAAGACAGTTCAGGCTTTGGATGATGTTCTGTATGTTATTCTTTATGTTTAACAATGACTCATTTATGGAGATGTATATACAAGTCCATGACAAATTGAGGAAATATCCCATGCATTTCACGAACCACTGGTATGATTCGATGTAGTGTTTTCTTTTCTGTTCCGTGCGTCTCCTCTTTATCCATGGTCTTTGCTAAAATTGTATCCTCCTTTCAAGCCCCTGGCATTTAAACCGTGCTAGGAGAAAGAGATAGAGGTTGAGTTAGTCAGGGCAGGGTGAGGAGGACTGAGGGGAGATGAGATAGCTGTGACTGTGAGGAGCAGCTCTCTGGCAGCTTGTAAAGCTCTCTCAACCTGCAGGGCCGCTGTGCCACCACAGATAGGTGGTGCCTGGGCTGATGTCCTTGGCCACTTCTCTCCCTCCCTCCTTTCTGTCCCTACTGCCCTCAGGGTTCAGTTTTGCGAGGAGGTGCTGCTGCAGCGCAGGGAGTAGAGGGAGGTGCGGGAAGAGGAGAGACACTGTCGTCTGGAGGCCCTGAGAAATTAGGTACGTCTCTTATCAGCACTTATTCCCATTAGCTGCCCTGATTGGATCTGCCATGTAAAATGCTATGCCAGGTAAGATTTGTGGAGGGTTTTGACCCTGTTTCATGTTGGTTTTGAGGCATCACTGCCACTTTCTGGTGGGATGGAGCAATACAAGGAAATTACTAGGGTTTTTCCCACCCTCCACACGGTCAATTTGGGAGTGATGGCAGAGCCAGACCCAGAGAGGATGATGGGAGATACGGAGGCCTTTTATAAAATATCCATCATTTGGGGGAATTTTCATTTAGATTTTTATTAGCGAGCTGGACACAGTATTGAAACCATTATCATTTCTACACAGTTTCAATTTGATTGTAGTTATTTTAAATTATAGAGTCCCCCCCTTACTGTAATTGTTTTCAATTAAAATAGTCAAAAATAAACAAAAATGGCTTCTTAGCAAAGAGCAATTTCTCAAGCTAGAATTTTGCTAGGACTGTCTGGGAGTGGTTTGAGTGGGAAGGGGAAAACTGAACATTAGCTGTTATTGGCAGAGTGGTTTGGAACTCTCTTATTGTCTATTTACAGCATGGGGATGTCACCATGGAAGACCAAAACTCCCTCCCACCAAAACACGCTGAAATTTCAGGCAGTCTTTTCAAAAATGTCTTACACTAAAAGGGCATTATCATAATTTTCACAATTTCACAGCATTATTCCAACCTCAGTGTGGAAATATACACTTAGTGTACAAAACATTAGGAACACCTGCTCTTTCCATGACAGACTGACAGGTGCATCCAGGTGAAAGCTATGATCCCTTAGTGATGTCACTCGTAGATCAGTGTAGATGAAGGGGAGGAGAGCCTTGAGACAATTGAGACATGGATTGTATGTGTGCCATTCAGAGGGTGAATGGGCAAGACAAAATACTTAAGTGCCTTTGAATGGGGTATGGTAGTAGATGCCAGGCGAACCAGTTTGTGTGTGTCAAGAACTGCAACTCTGCTGGGTTTTTCACGTTTAACAGTTTCCCGTGTGTATCAAGAATGGTCCACCACCCAAAGGACATCAGCCAACTTGAAACAACTGTGGGAAGCATTGGAGTCAACATGGGCCAGCATCCCTGTGGAACGCTTTCGACACCTTGTAGAGTTCATGCCCCGATGAATTGAGGCTGTTCTGGGGGCAAAAAGGGGTGCAACTCAATATTAGGAAGGTGTTCCTAATGCTTTGTACACTCAGTGTATATAAAACACAGGAAAATCACATTTTTGACTGCACTGGGCCTTTAAACATTTTGTATTATTAAAATGTTTTACTCAAACCACCCGCAGGCCGGATCGGACCCCCTCGTGGGCCGGATGCGGGCCATATGTTTGACACCTCTGCTTTAAGTGTTTGGTTTTCACCACTAGTTCCCAAGTTTGTTAACGTGTCAATGTACTATTTTGTGTTTACTGCTTTTCTGCCTCACACTGACATAAAACCCAGAAAATCATTCACAACAATGTTTGACCTGGCTAAACCAAACCTTACCCTCGTGCAGACAGACCTTTAAACGACCTCCCCTCAAGGCCGGTGGGTGAATCAACATACAGTACATCTGTCTGGTACATTTTGTCAAGACTCCACTGTGCAGGAGAGCACACTTGTTTACCTGCAGTCTATTGCGGAATCAGCCCAGTGACGGTTAGATCATCTCCTCCAATTGAAACTTGTGATCAATAACTAACTGACCTTGGTTTGAGGAATGTGAGGAACACACATAGACATGTTTGACTAGAATACCAAAATATCATAAAGAATAACGAACAAGGGTGTAACAGTATCGTCCTCATCTTTTTTTTTGGTGCCTTTTGGACCTTACAATGAGTGTGTCCCAAATGGCACCGTATTCCCAATATAGTGCACTTCTGTTGACCAGAGCCCTATTACTACTGTATTCCAGATTGTGTCTGATCCAAGAGTAAGGATTAAACAGGACTCCACAACACACTGTATGCTAAGGAGGTTCTCTCTGGAGTCCAGCCACCCAGACCACCTCGATGGGACACTGATTCCACAGGGTTCAAGTCTTCCTCAAAGAGTGTTTAGCCCTATTCAATCAAAACCACTAACCAGATGTCCGGAATAAGTCATAATGTAAATAGCATTTTCCCAGGCCAGTGAGAGAGCATATTTGCATTGATGTGAAGTTGAATTACTTTTTACGCAACTTGGAAACCTGGCTGCAGGTACAGATAAAGAAAAAGTCATTTGTCCACAGAGTATTGTCAGTATGTCTTCTTTGGGCTACTTCTGTGATTGTCAATGCAGACCATGTTGGCTCAACTTTTAATGTACTCCTTGTAAAATGTTATATGCCTCCCTCTGCAATCCATCAATATCTGATACATCATTTAACACAATGTCTGTGTTTCATGCCACTGTGACGTTAGATAAAACTTACATGAAAGGTTTGTCATGACAGGCATGTTATTTAGCTGTATATATTTGCTCATTTGACATACATGGATGTTGTAACCATCAGCTGATTGGGCTACGTGTCAGTGCAAAGTTCAGACTATTTTCTGGCTGCAATCCTGTAGTGTCATCTCCATTTTGAAGCTAATAATTTCTTACTAATCCATGTGGAATAAGAGGATGTGGACCCATATCAGCCAGACCTGAAGGGAATGTATTCAGGATTTTAAAATGTCAGGTACAATGAAGTCAGATGTATTTCCATTTTTAAATATAGCCCGGCAACACCAGTGCCTAACTCCTGAGCCATGAGACGGTTGATCCAATTACAGTCAGAAGAGAGCTTCTTTGTTTCAGTATTTTATTCATTTTAAAAGTCACAGGACTTAACTTCATCAAGTAGTAACAAACAACAATTTAATCTATACAGTCAAAGTAACACAATATATAATACCATACAAATATACACAAATACCACAATTTTCGTAAAACAAATCTGTAAAATGTATCTTCATGTACTCTTAGAACTCTTTAAATAATATCTTATCACATATCAACATGTTTATACATATATCCACATATCGGTTGGGTCTGTAGCTATATACACTTCATGGGCAGCAGAGGTGATCGGAGGGAGCTTAGACGATTAGGCCCAGGTGTTTCTTGATAAAGTGGGCCACCAGAACCTGAGGTCTCTGTTGGTACTCCACCAGCACATCATGAGGGGTGGAGATCTGGTCCCCATCGAAACGGTTCAACAAAGTCACACATACGACTGCAGCTGTGGAGAAAAAGTGAAATCTGTTACAAATGTCAAAACAATGTAAAACAAAAATCATGCAAAAGTGGCAAAACAAAGAAAAAACATATTTGATTACAGGTTCTCTCTGTCAAAGTTAGTGGCATTGGAGACAGTGGGACAGTCATGTATTTGGAATAACACCTTTGATGCCACAAGCACGACACATGGCTGCGAAGACAGTGGACTCCATCTCAATATTCCTGACTCCCGTGTTATAGGCTTTCCTCAGGTACTCCAGCTTGTCCTCAGTGGAGAAGGAGCAGAGAGCTCCATCCAGCCGACCCTGACCTGGTGGACCACAACAGAAAACAGACTGGGTTAGATCAAGGCCAGGAGGCAACATTGGGAACGTACATCCTAAGTTAAAGGGGCAGTCTGCGTTTCGAAAAACAAAACAACTTGCAGACTGTATCTTTAACTTAGGGCTTTTGTGTAGCAGAGCGTACAGAGGTGAGATACATGATGGGGTTACCTTCATAGAAGTCATGGGTGCACATGGTGTTTCCGATGACGGTGGGCACATCCTCTAACTCGGAGGAGCACTGCAACAGCTCCTTGGAGACACCCACGTCCAGCTCTGTGCCCCTTGTGATCACCTTACCTAGAACCACCTGCTCAAACTGGGCACGGAAGAAACAGTCCACCGCCTTGTCTGTGACCACTACTGTTCCTGGTGCCAGACCTGTGACGGGACACCAGTGACATGATTTAGAGAGCAGTGGCACTCAATTATATAAACATGTGTATCAACATTTGAAAGAAGAATGGAAGAGGGGAGGATGCTCTTACCAACTCCACCGGAGGTGCCAATGCGGAGGAGGACAAAATCGATGCAACGGGCATGATGCAGCAGCTTGATGAGCTCATGGAGCATGATGGAGATGGAAGGGACGCCCATACCATGCTGCAGAGACAGAAGGGTGAGGTTAACAATCTTTACTGACTAACGTTAACAGAACTGCGGGAAAGCAGTGCATCGCAGGTGGGGTGGCGAACGACACTACGTCCTGGTGTTGTGAAACACCGACTTGTCGTGCATGCTCTCTCCAACGAGTAGACGGTCACAGTGACATCCAGATGATTACCAAATTAACAATTATTTTTCATGAAGGCTGCTACCTTACTTGGAGGAAAACATTTGGCCACGTTAGCTACTGCCGGCGACACAGTGATACAGCTGTGCAGTGGGAAGCAACTCAGGTCGACATGCACTCTTCCCACTGGGCACACTGGTTGAATCAACATTGTTTCCACGTCATTTCAATGACATTTCTTTGAACCAACGTGGAATAGACGTTGAATTGCATTCTGCCACAAAAATGGCTGCTGTGCATCACCCAGGTGGGTGCCATAAAGTGCTTTGAGCATCTAGGTGGAAAAGCGCTATATAAATCCAAACAATTATTATAAGATACAGCAATACACCGAACTGGACAAACATTTGATAATATTACATCATTTCAGGTGTCAGTCACTGGCTTACATAAAGTATCTTCACTTATCAAGTTCTAAAGTCTTATACAGGCTATCGAAAGTCAGATCATTATCTTGTGTGAGGGAGATGTATCCATTGTGCAATACTTACACTGATAGAAAGTACGGGTCCCACTTTGTACATGGAGTAGCGGTCGGTTCCCTCACAGATATCTGTGATGTCATCCATGTTTCCGGGCAAGGCCAGCTCCTGGTGAATGAACTGGGCAAAGGACTTCATCCGATTGGCACTGCCACCGACGCACACAAACTTAATGGGGAGATAGAAAGACCATTGTATTCCGCTGTCTATGAGACTAGCTTTCGTAATCAGGTATTGCAAATATTTTGTCTGGGCAACTTTCACAAACCTTGATGTCTCCAAACATTTCAGGCAGGTTGTGGGTCTTGGTCCCCAGGTTGAAGTGATAGAGAATGTCCTCTTCCATTGTATCCAAGTGGGGGTTCTTGACATGGATCTGGGGGTTCTTGAAAGGGACCTCGGGTCTGTAATAACATTGATATGAGAGAGCACATGAGAATTGCATAACAGAAGGTTCTCTAGTGCAGAACAATAACCAGTAGTGTAATAAAACCTCAAAGTAAAATACATATACTCACTCAATATATTCAGAATGGTCATTGACAATCCCCATACCGTTCAGTAAAATAGGTGACATGGCTGTTGTTCACTGTATACTAAAATAAATATGAAGAAAACATGTATAATTACTATCAACTGTTGAGTTATAACACGATATATTATAAACACAATACTTAGAGCTACAATATTACACACAATGTACTATAAGCACAATATTACATACAGCCACAAGTGCAACACATACCTTTCAGGCTAGAAAGGTTCTTCTGAATTCAATGGGTAATATTCTGTTGTGCTGTGTAGCAGTTCCCAAATACGCGTTGCCTGTCTCTGCCTCTTGGGCTGATATAGCTTTGACCTGTGACCTCTCTCAGGAGTGATTGGTTGTGGAGAGAGGGGTAGTGACTGTCTGGTCCAGTCTCTCCCACTGAAACGTTAACTGATCTCAAACAAACACTGTTCCAAACATTACAAATACTTGGCCCAGATCCAAAGTCATGACTCGACACAGTATATCTTTTTGAAAACCTATGAATTACTTCAGTGGTGTAAAATCCTGTACAACGGCCATGCCATTGAAAAGTAGTGAAATAGTAAAAAGCCAAGTCAATGTTCTGATTGCCAGGTGCATTCAACCATTCTAAAAAACGTGACGAATGAAGTTACATAAACAACGTCACTATGTCCTGGCAAGTTTTCAAACACGAGCTAGACTTATGTAATTTTCACAGAATCCTGGGGATCTCATGATGTTCAGGTTCCAAACGAATTGAGTGTGCACAAATATTTGACTGTGTGTGTGTATCAACAAAATATATTACCTTAACCAGATGTTTCAGATATGCCGCATATCCTAGTCATTTGTTTAATCATTATGGGGAGAAACATGTCCAATTATATTGCATATTCACTTTGTATCCTGTGTCAATTACATCCGTAGAACATAATTTCTACTATGATGACAGTGGGAAAGAGGAAGGAACAATTAAGTAAATTCAGAGATCACAGGTCTCTGGAGCAATCTAGCTATGAGTCACATTTCAACAAATACATGTCTAGGTGCCATTTCAAATAGTGACGAGTGCTTCATTAAGCACACAAAGAGAATGAGAACACATCCAATATTTCCATGCACAACACATTTATTTTTTTTAAAACAAATCTTTATAGCAACCATAACGAGGCACAAAAAAACACATAACACTTCAAACAGCAGGCATTTTTAGAGGAGCCCTTCTAAGCCATAGACACCTTTTAAAAGTAAACAATCTTTCCCAAAACTACAACAGACGAACAAGAGCATAGCTCAGGCTAGTACATTAGCTGTTATTAGTGTTACAGTGCAAATGCAGTTCATTAGCAACAACTTCAGGCACAGAACAGAGCGGGTCTGAGTGCAATCTAATTTTGCAGTTGTGTATACTTCTTGGGACAAGCATAAACATGTAGCATGACAAGAGTGCTATAACTCTGACTTGAACCAAAACAAACTGCTTTAATTCACCTATATGCGGTTGTGAACAGGCAAAACCTGGTGAAGGAACGTTGTGGAGGAGAACATTGAGGAGTCAGTCGTGCGCCACTGCCCTTGCTCCCTTCTACTCGTTGGAACCTGCAGGAATACACACAAGTTCATTTGTGTGTGCGCGTTTTCCCCACACATTTTCATTTGCTGTCCCACCCCATGATCACAGATAACAATGCAAGTCAGGATTTCCAATTTTCCCGACAGGCATATCATCATGTCTGAACAGTACATGCATTGTAATTTTGCAACCTTACTTCGGTGCCCTTTGTATCAATTATGTAGATCTATACATGATTTGTCATCAAAAATAATCTATACTACTTGATATTCATTCAATATTTTATTAGTTAGTCTATGGGGCATGTGCTTCTGAGCAATGAGACAAATTGCCAATTGAATTCAAATTACCTTGAAGTTCGAACATCAACCCACAGTCACTAACATCTACTTACTTGATGAATGCGTATTTGGTGCCCCTTTCTTGTCCTCTAAATAGCCGAAGCTCAAGAGCGTAGACATGTTGACAGGGGTCGAATTCTGAGATTTCTGAGATCTGCAAGACCAAAAGGCAACCATTTAAAAAACAGCGGGAGGCAAAATGGGGCCTAAACAAAATGCGGAAACAAAACGTAAAAATCATTGAGCTCTTGAACATTTAGAGCTAGTGGAGGGTTCATAACCATAAAACTTCAGAACAACCATAAAAACAGTGGGAGAATCAGTCAGCTGATGGTAATATTGATATGGTGAGAGGGAGTACACTAACAGCAAACATTGAATTTGGACCCTGAAAACACCTCTAACTGAGCTACAGTTGAACTAATACATGTTTTTATACCCTACAAAATGGATCAACAATATCTTTACATTTTAAAATGTCCTGTTATTCATTATGGTTCTAATAATTTATTGACTGTGTAGCCGTAGCTATTTGCCATCTCTGACATCATGCTATATGCTTAAAAGAGACATCTGTAGGCCCATGTTTGACAGGTCAATGTCACAGGTCACTGACAGGTGGCACATTTAAAAAACATTTGCACAATGACTTGAATTGTAGAGTAATGACCACATTGGAAGCAAAAACTAAGTCAGGGGGTGATCATGTCATCACACTATTTGAAGCTAGCGATCTGTTTGTTGATGTATTGGTTCATATTGCTAACTGAGCTGAACGGTTTGTGAGGACATCTGTGCTCTTTGATCAGTATTATTTGCAGCCAGGCATGGGAGGTTTGCAGACAGGCATGTATGGCATTGGCCCATAGAGATAGAGGACCCATATTTGTATGGACATTACCATTAAGGCCTTCCACCATTTTTCAGTAGTTAACTGGGTGGAGATTCCTATGGGTTGGGAGCGATCAGACAATGTTGAGAGCATTGTCTACTAGTGACTCATAACCCGTTGACTCATAACCCGCAGTCCCCGCGGTTATATCCGTAGGGCGGTGACTCATAACCGCAGTCCCCTGAAGGGCGGGTAGGTGGCGGGTTGAATAAAGAGAAAACAATGCATTTAAAATCCATAAATATATTTCTTGTGCAATTCATGTCTATAGGCTACACTGAGGTTTTTCTTTCATTATTTTTATCTGCCGTTAGTGCGCAAGCCTTAGCTTTAGGGCCTAACTGTGCTTTTGGGAACTTGGGGGGAGGAAATAACGTCGCTCCACTGAGGCAAAAAGGACAATGTTGGAGTTTAATTCAATAAGAGAAAAGCGGCGAAATGGAGAGTTGAAAGGGAGGGCCAGAAAAGTAATGTTTGGGAAAGATTTGGTGAAGTGGTAAAAGAGGATGATCGCAGTGCCGACTATGTTATGTGTGATGAATTACACAAATTCGAGAGTCAAAAGACAGGGACTTCAAATATTATTATTATTTTCTCAAATATGGCACGTCAAGGGAATTGTAGCCTAACTGAAAACTGGACACTGACTGTAGGTCTACAGTGCTATGAAAAAGTATTTGCCCCCTTTCTAATTTTCTCTACTTTTGCATATTTGTGATACTGAATGTTATCAGATCTTCAACCAAAACCTAATATTAGATAAAGGGAACATAAGTGAACAAATAACACAACAATTACATATTTATTTCATAAACAAAGTTATGCAACACCCAATTCCCCTGTGTGAAAAAGTAATTGCCCCCTTACACTCAATAACTGGTTGTGCCACCTTTAGCTGCAATGACTCCAACCAAATGCTTCCTGTAGTTGTTGATCAGTCTCTCACGTCGCTGTGGAGGAATTTTGGCCCACTCTTCCATGCAGAACTGCTTTAACTCAGTGACGTGTGGGTTTTCAAGCATGAACTGCTCGTTTCAAGTCCTGCCACAACATCTCAATTGGGATTAGGTCTGGACTTTGACTAGGCCATTCAAACTTCCAATTTGTTGCTTTTTAGCAATTTTCATGTAGACTTGATTGTGTGTTTTGGATCATTGTCTTGCTGCATGACCCAGCTGCGCTTCAGCTTCAGCTCACAGACGGATGGTCTGACATTCTCCTGTAGAATTCTCTGATACAGAGCAGAATTCATGGTTCCTTCTATTAAGGCAAGTCGTCCAGGTCCTGAGGCAGCAAAGCATCCCCAAACCATCACACCACCACCATCATGCTTGACCTTTGGTATGATGTTCTTACTGTGGAATGCAGTGTTTGGTTTTCGCCAGGCATAATGGGACCCATCTCGTCCAAAAAGTTGACTCAAGTTTGACAAAAAGCACCTGGATGATCATCAAGACTCTTGGAAGAACGTTCTATGGCCAGATGATTCAAAAGTATAACTTTTTGGACGACATGGTTCCAGTAATGCCTGGCGAAAACCAAACTCTGCATTCCACAGTAAGAACATCATACCAAAGGTCAAGCATGGTGGTGGTGGTGTGATGGTTTGGGGATGCTTTGCTGCCTCAGGACCTGGACGACTTGCCTTAATAGAAGGAACCATGAATTCTGCTCTGTATCAGAGAATTCTACAGGAGAATGTCAGACCATCCGTCTGTGAGCTGAAGCTGAAGCGCAGCTGGGTCATGCAGCAAGACAATGATCCAAAACACACAATCAAGTCTACATGAAAATTGCTAAAAAGCAACAAATTGGAAGTTTTGGAATGGCCTAGTCAAAGTCCAGACCTAATCACAATTGAGATGTTGTGGTAGGACTTGAAACGAGCAGTTCATGCTTGAAAACCCACACGTCACTGAGTTAAAGCAGTTCTGCATGGAAGAGTGGGCCAAAATTCCTCCACAGCGACGTGAGACTGATCAACAACTACAGGAAGCATTTGGTTGGAGTCATTGCAGCTAAAGGTGGCACAACCAGTTATTGAGTGTAAGGGGGCAATTACTTTTTCACACAGGGGAATTGGGTGTTGCATAACTTTGTTTATGAAATAAATATGTAATTGTTGTGTTATTTGTTCACTTATGTTCCCTTTATCTAATATTAGGTTTCGGTTGAAGATCTGATAACATTCAGTATCACAAATATGCAAAAGTAGAGAAAATTAGAAAGGGGGCAAATACTTTTTCATTGCACTGTATAACCTCTCACTTAGCCTAATATAATATTAACTCCTGCAGAATTAAGCATTTCTTGCAGTAAAATGATACACCAAATGTACATTTTGACTCGGGAACAGGAATGGAGAAATGTGATTTCTTTCAGCATCTTGAAAGAATGAATGCGCGGTTAGGGACCGTCTGTAAAGGTGCCATCTTTATCAGCGTCCTAAAAGCTGATAGTATTTCAACCACATAAAATATGCATCCAAGACTAATTTAAATCTTATCAGAAATATTTATTTTTCACTGCTATTCATTTCCTTAAAACCAGTCAAAATGATGTCATTTGTAGATTTGGGGGTTATTGCATTTTCTTCCAGTCCCTAAATGTCTGCTGCAGGAGAGAAGCAGAGATGAAAGGGAACTTTAACAATGTCAACTAGATTGAATTCGTCGATTAATGACATGACATTGATGTTTGATTATTCAGGGTGTATTTAGTCTTCTAGGGCAGTAATGACAGAAGAAAAGCTGCATGTATCTAATTATAGACAAGTTGAAAAGCAGAAACATATCTAAATTAGTCTTAAAAAAAGAAATCCTGCACACCCTGTCGAAAAATTGTTCTGCCGTCTGACTGTACATCACATTTTCTATCGGCCTATTTGTGGGTTAGGGTCCCAGATTTTCACTTTATCACATATAGTCGGGCGGTTGCGGATGGGTTATTAGCAATTGCGGGTGGGTGCGGGTGAACAAACAGCTGACCCACGCATCACTATTGTCTACTTCTTCAAATTGAGTTAACTATGGTTTGTAAATGTCATCGCCATCTGGTGTCCACAATAAATCAATGACAAGATTGGGTTCAGGTCACCAGCACTGCAGGTGGTGGTAAATCACCATTAATTAGCTTTATGCTTTTTTTCAAACACGAAAGAAGAAGAAAACTGACTACTTCAAAATGGAGATGGCTTCAATGGTGCTGCCCGTGCTGTTACAGATGCCATAATGGGACAGATAGAAAGAGGAGTCATTTAACTAACTCTATGCCTTGGCCACATCACAGCGGCCTTATCCATTCTTAAAAGGTGTGGGGCAGGAGTTTTGGGTAGTGCTATATTGTATGAGAACTAGGGAGGCCAGTTCCAAGACTACCACAGCGAATATTGTCAGCACATTGAATCTGCAAGCTTCTGGAGTGACAAAGGTGCAATCTGGGATATTTGCAGCCGATTTTGGTCACCAAAATAAAAAGAGGCCAATACCTATTGATTCTTGAATAATGTAATAAAAATTGCATAACATAACTTGCCTCGAGCTTGTGAGTAAAACGGTCTTAACCCTTAATAACTCAAAATCTAATGTTGCTTTACTCCATTGTTTTTAAACAAATGCGTTTGTTAACAATATATAGCTTCAAACATTTTAAAAACTATGTTGATGATATCATGGAATTGCATCCAAAGCGGTCTGTAAATGTTAAAATAGTTACATTTCTTCAGCCCCATCAATTGGTAGCGGGGTTGCTGGGCTGAAACACAAATACACCAAGAGTGTAGCTTTAATTAACACTCATGAAGACTGTTGAGCTTGGTAAATGAGTCTACTTTTCACATTTGATGCATAAATGTTGCCATGTGGCAACATACCATTTCTCTTCACCCACTTGCTTCCATGAATGAAGAAATACAAACACCATTGAACTTGACAAAAGGGGGGGGCCTTAGACTAGCCAATGATGTCCTTTGGTGAAGTCACATTACATTTTACATTTTAGTCATTTAGCAGACGCTCTTATCCAGAGCGACTTACAGGAGCATTTAGGGTTAAGTGCCTTGCTTAAGGGCACATCAACAGATTTTTCACCTAGTCGGCCCGGGGATTAGAACCAGCGACCTTTCGGTTACTGGCACAACGCTCTTACCCACTAAGCTACCTGCCACCCTTACATGACATGCACCTCCTCTCCCGCACACATGACGCGATCATGTGCTATTCGGAATAAGGAAACTCTGAAATGTCTGACTTGCTAACTGGTTGAACGCAGCACTTGTATAACTACAACCAGTTAGCAAGTCGGAAATGTCAGTTTCCTAGTTCCGACTAGACGCGAACGCAGAAATAGCTAGCCGTTATTGAAATGCTCCACAAATTGTTCTCATAAAACTATCTGTACATATCTCCTTCAATAAAAAATGGAAACTCAATCTCAAGAGATATTAAACATTAAATCAGATTTTCCAAGTATTTGTTCTTAGGAAACTGATCAGATGTATTTGTTGCCAAATGAAAACACTGTGCGATGGCACTGCAACTCAAGTGGGAGGTTCCTGGAAGTCTTAGGCAAAAGACAGTGAAATAGTCATTTTCTGTAATTTTAAAGTAATATTGGCATGAGTCATATGAATTTAACATTTTTTTGTAAAGATAACATATAGCCAAACAATGTATTTATATACATATGGATAATACAGTACAATTAAATGTATAATATCCATTAGTAAAACTAAAAATACGGCCAGAGTGAATTCTTTATTTCAAGAAAACATAATTTCAGAGTGTGAATGAATAAGAACGATACAATTATAATTCAAACACCTACTTTATATTAGAAACCAACATTTGTTATGATTTTTGTAGTTTACGAATTACCGTTGTCACAGTGTTTCCATATGGCAAATTGTTTTATTTATAAAATTGATTTTGCATTTGTATATTTTAGGGCCATTTTATGTGCAAAAAACTATTCCAACATTTGTTTGCATGGTTCTATCATTATATTTACATTTACATTTTAGTCATTTAGCAGACGCTCTTATCCAGAGCGACTTACAGTTAGTGAATACATATATATATTTTTTAAACTGGCCCCCCGTGGGAAACGAACCCACAACCCTGGCGTTGCAAACGTCATGCTCTATCAACTGAGCTACATCCCTGCCGGCCATTCCCTCCCATACCCTGGACGACGCTGGGCCAATTGTGCGCCGCCCATGAGTCTCCCGGTCGCGGCCGGCTGCGACAGAGCCTGGATTCGAACCAGGATCTCTAGTGGCACAGTTAGCACTGCGATGCAGTGCCTTAGACCACTGTGCCACTCAGGAGTTATATAATGTGTGCAGTAAACAAGTACACAATATTATGGCTATTTTGGGGCGATATGCAGCTTAGTTTGTTTCCACAGTATGTTCATCCTACATAGGCCTAAGAGCTGGCCCCTGTTCTATCAAAACCAGTAACATATTATATATTTTTCCCATATTACTTCAAACACTGTCACAATTTATGAAGTATTTTTTAGAATGATCACAGAAATGCTGTTACCATTTTTTTACATTACAAAACAGTACTTTATAATTATTTGTATCCTTACAGTACAAAGAATCCCATATCATTAACAATCAATATGAATTACATACTGAAGTCATGTGTTTGACCTCTATTTCTATTTGACTGTAAATACACTGAACAAAATATAAATGCAACATGTAAAGTGTTGGTCCGATGTTTCATGAGCTGAAATAAAAGATCAGACATTTTCCATACGCACAAAAAGCTTATTTCTCTCAAATTATGCACACAAATTTGTAGACTATCCCTGTTTGTGAATATTTCTCCTTTGCCAAAATAATCCATCCACCTGACAGGTGTGGCATATCAAGAAGCTGATTAAAACAGCATGATCATTACACAGGTGCATATTGTACTGGGAACAATAAAAGGTCACTCTAAAATGTGCAGTTTTGTCACACAACACAATGCCACAAATGTCTCAAGTTTTGAAGGCACGTGCAATTGGCATGCTGACTGCAGGAATGTCCACCAGAGCTGTTGCCAGAGAATTGAATGTTCATTTCTGTAACTCAGTAAAATCGTTTAAATTGTTGCCTTTATATTTTTGTACAGTATATATATATATGACTGAATCTTTGAGCCTATAACAAAGAGTTACATATTGTAAAGGTGCCCAAGCTGTCTGGAGCTGCACTCTTCTGTGCTGTGAATGAAAAAGTAGCACATTGCCATCTTGTGGATATATGGTGCAAATATTTCAAAGGGGTCACTCACGTTTTCTTGAAATTGCCTGCTGCATCTTCATTCTTTCCTGATGCTATAGACAAGTTCTCCATCTGGCTGTTGGGAGAGATCTGACAGCAAAACCAAAAGTGTCTTGAATAGTAATTTATCATCTGGAATCACGTCAGGATTGAACAGAGATGAAACCCCCTATTCAGTTGGCAAAAATCTGCTTCTATTGGACCTACATTTACATTATAGTCATTTAGCAGACGCTCTTATCCAGAGCGACTTACAGTTTTAGTGAGTGCATACATTTTTCATACTGGTCACGTTCTACTCAATCCCTGCAACAGCAAGAGAGGAATCTTATAAATCTAGAATAATTCAAATATCGTAAACGCCAGTGACAATTTGACGCTAATCAAATACATTTCAGCAACAAAGGTTGACATAGCCAAAGATGGTGGTATAGTGGTTGGTTATAAGTTTACTAGATACAGTAGGTGTTAAGTCTGAGAACCCTATTCATTGTTCGCTAATATTGTTATTATTTTTACTGCGCCAAAATCATTTAGCTTTTCATGATACTAGGCCGGTGATAATACTGCCAAAAAAGTTTGCTGAAGTGAAATTGCAAGGATTTCTCCATTTACCTTCTCTTTGTCATCAAAGTCCCTTTCCCAAGTTGACTTATTATCACTCCCAAAGGGAGCATTAGTTGACATGTAGTTTTGGAAGCTCTCAGTTGGGCTGGAAGAAAGACAAAATGTACAAATGTCAAATAATCCATTATACTAATAATAGCCTTAGCCTGTATAACTGGGCTGCGTTCAGCTGGACTCAACAATGTGCAATGTTTGATACATTTACATTACATTTAAGTCATTTAGCAGACGCTTTGATACGACAGAGACGGTGCTGTTCTGAATGACTAGTTGAAGGATGTTGTGATAACGGTGGCCCAGAGGGTGAATGTGTATACAGTGTCTTGCATGAGTTTTGCGATTTCAAATGGTGACCGCGCCCATATTGATCAGGCCACACTCCATACAAACATACAAAGGCTGTTGAAGAACGGTGGGCACCGTTTGGGGAAAACGTGTCATTCGGTACAAACCGTCACGCAATGTAGCAAAACATTTAATAAACTGAACACACCCGTTTTACAATAGGGTACATGCCATACAACCTTAAACAAATATGCAATTTGAATGATCAATGCACACAATCCATCTTGGCCTAGCTAAGTAGGCATAAATTACTAACAAACTACCTTCACAAATAGATTACTTTTTAATTCCAGAGTGACTCATTATTCTCATCTTAATTTGCCTTTTTGGCTTTACCTTGCTTGCTCTTGAGCTTTTGGAGATCCAGAGAACCAGTTAGGAGCTTTGTAAGATGATGCAGAGTTAGGTTTGGTGTCCAAATTGGTCTCCTCGTGCCACAATAAACCTGTAAATGAATGAAAAGAACTTGGTTATCAATGTTGTACACTAGTGGTTCCCAAACTGTGGGGCGTGCCCCAGGGATCAGCAGGGGCTCCCTTTTTAAAGGAACTCAGTCCGGCTTTCAACTTACTCTTTAAAGTTGTAATAGTAGTATGCACAAGCTGCAATTTTTAAATTGGGTAGTGCATCATCAGTTTTCCTCCTGTCATGCGGGATGTTCCCCTATGCTGAAAGGGGGGCCTGAGTGAAAACGTTTTGGATCCCCTGGAATACTACTAGTTATTTGCTAGTTAGCGAGTGAGTTTGCCAGTTAACGTTAGTAGTCTCGCTAGGCCATCCTTCCAAACTGGATGGGGTGTGTCCTTTTACCTAGCTGCACCTTTTTACAGTCTATGAGCTAGACAGATAGCTAGCTATAACTTAATTTATTTCCACAGATGAAAGGGGAGATAATCTTTGTTACTTCTAGTTAAAACCGAATACAGTTTTTACCCCTCTGTCCTCCTTGTTTAGCCAGTTTAGTATAAGCAGAATCGGACTCATTAACTCCCGAACGGCGTCCTTTAGACCTCTCCTCAGGACCATTGTTAGCATCTTCAGACAGCCCAGGAATCTGGGAGGTCGGGGCAGCTTTTGTTGAATCATCGCCATTGGCAACGCCTAAAAAACACAAACACAATTATAAGGCTTTTCTTCAAGTTGTAGCTAGTTCGCTAGCTAACGTTAGCTACTTCAACTAGCTAGCACCTTCACCTGGTAACGTTACATCTTAGAGGCTCGTTAGAATAAGAGGTGTAGCTAGCTAGCCAAGAGAGTCAGAGGTATTAGCTAGGCCTTCACAGCTAACGGTAGTTAGCTATGCTAGCTAAGTTAGCTAGCTAGTCAGCTTTGCACATTTGAAGACCCTCTGTACTTGCCATTGTCGTTTTGTCGGCGATCTGTGTCAGTGTTCATGTCTACTGTCGTCTTTCTGATGGAAAAAGAACGCAGTACATTGTCATCCTAGCCAACACTGCTGGCCAAATGGCTAGCTCGGTAACGATGTTAGCTTAGCGCAATAAGGCGTTGCCAGCTAGCATTAGCTAGTTAGCTGTATCTATACGTGTTCGTTTTAGTACATGGATGTAAGTGTAGGTAGCTAGTAAGTTAATGTGATGTCATTGCAAAACATTACTTACATTTCCAGCTATACAGCGGTTGCAAATCTGGACACCGGCAAAAGAGAGCGGAGAAAACCCGAGTATGGATTTTGAGCTAGCTGGCAGCGAGTGACAAAACAAACGTCCGACTGTGCTGAGTGTTTTGTTACCATGGAAACAGGGCTGGAGCGTTGCCTTTTTAGGGATGTGTTCAATAACCTCTTTTCGTGAATGGGTTTAAATTAAATCAGAGCTGATATCTATATTTTGTTTTGGACTGTTTATTACATGAAAATAAAGATATTTCAATTATGAATAATCCACCAAACCCTTTATCTGCCAGTTATTGTAGCCTATCCATAACCCACAATATAGTTTTAAAATAAAATGAGATTTAAAAATAATAACAATATTTCATCTTCTGCTTTATTATTTGAATACCTTGTAATTAGACCTATATTATGCCTAGTCTTAAAACATTAGGCTAATTTTCCATGAATTACCTTGCAATGCAGCAAATGAAAAAACAACATCTTTCTCTCCTCCTGTCTCTGATCTATGGAAGCTCGTTCCCACCACCAAAAACAGAAAATCTGACTACAAGTTATGAGATAGTAAGTCAATATTATGAGATCGTAAGTCCTTATTATGAGATCGTAAGTCATTATGAGATCGTATGTCCTTATTACGAGATCGTAAGTTATTATTATGAGATATTAAGTCATAATAATGAAATCGTTATTATTATGAGATATGCGAGTCATAATTATGAGATAGTAAGTCATAATAAAGAGATAGTAAGTCATGAGCTAGTAAGTCATTATGAGATAGTATATTATTATCATCATGACTTACTAAGTCATAACTATGAGAAAGAAAGTCATAATTATGAGATAGAAAGTCATTATTATGAGATACTTTTAGGCGATCTGTATCACATGAATCCAATGTGCACTTTGCATCGGGCCCTCAACTTTCAAGGATTACCTTATGTATATCCTATAGTCAATCACGTGTGTGAGTGTGCGTGTGTGTGAGAGAGAGCGAGAGAAAGAGAGAGGGGGTTTGTGGTGATGTAGCTCAGTTGGTAGAGCATGGCGTTTGCAACGCCAGGGTTGTGGGTTCGATTCCCACGGGGGGCCAGTATGATTTTTTTTTAAACAAAAATAATAATAATGTATGCACTCACTAACTGTAAGTCGCTCTGGATAAGAGCGTCTGCTAAATGACTAAAATGTAAATGTAAAAAATGGTGATATTGTTCCATATTAATGGAGTGGAGCGTTTTGTTGATGTGAGTTGGTGCCTGTTTGATGACATCTGGTTGACATCAGATTTAATTACAGACATGCTCTGGAACTTTGGCGACTACTAAGTGTTTTTTAAACCTCCCGCTTTGGGCTGGATGTGTCAATTAGTAGTTCATACATGCATAATCTCTGAGCAGAATTACTGTTTTACCCCAATTAACCTCGAAATCCCTAGTTTGAAAGCAATAGTTTTTCTGGAAGCTGTGCTGCGCTAGTCTGGGTACCAGTTTCTTTAGCTAATCCACTCCATGTACTCCATGTCATGTGCCAAAGAGACTGGCCTTTCTGCCATCTTCAAATATGAACATTCTATCATTAATGTGCTCAAAGAGAACAGAGAATTTGATCCTGACTCAATCACCCTCACAGCTATCCTCAAATCACAACAATTATGCAAATATTGGAACTCTTCCACTTTTTTCTCCACAGAACATGTTGGTATCAGGTTGCGCAGCATCCGTTTTTTGTTTGTCTAGAAACCAGTCTGTCAACAGTTGCTTGCTCACGTCTAAATTCTCAAACTAAATACATACTGCAATTTCAACCTCAAAACATCTTCGTTTTGATTTTAAGCCTCAAAATACAACTAGCCTAGCTAACAGCTAAATGTTTGTTTTTGACTTTGTTATACATTTTCATTATAGTTTCGAGGCTCCACATTTTGTCATGGAAAATGTTAAAGTTATTTCCAACAACCAATGAGCAACTCCGCCATAAATCCAGTGCATATTGAACATTGAGATTGCTGAAAGGCCAGTCTCTTTGGCATTGACAAGGAGTGGCAAGTGGAATGTTAGCTAAAGAGAGAGACTGGTACTCAGACTAGTGCTGCGCCATTTTCCCTACAGTTTCCTCCACTTGGGGCAGCACCCTAGCAATTAGAGTTCTAGCCAATGAGCTTCAGCCCCTCGCCATTTGAGTGAAAGCTAGCAAGATGGACACACAGCAGAGCGAGAGAGAGCAATGACGTGGTGCACATATCTGTATATATATGACGTCGTACGCAATTTGTCCCTCTACTTTCAGAACTACTGGATAAAAAGTATACAAAAGTACAGGATAATCTCTTTAATTCATTAAATTAAAGGGGCAATCTGGGATTGGTACATCCATTTTGGGAAGTTAAAATTATTAATATATAGCCATTGATTCTTGAAGAATGATTCAAGGACTGACCATCAATGAGATCAAAATGATTGACTTGACCATGTTTTGAAGCTATACAGTGTTTGTTTACATCTACATTGTTTACAAACAATGGAGTAAACAAGCTTATATTTTGGGTTCATATGTGAGAGTCCTTGCGTCTATGTATTTGAGAGTGGTCATATTTCTCCTGCCCCATTCCTCAGCTGTTTACCAAATAAAGTGATGTGGAGTACACTTTGTTATTGTTTGAATCCCAGATTGCCCCTTTAAAAAGGTGTCCACCTGCAGGACTATTCAATGTCCATGATTCAGACTTACTACCTCATAATTATGACATACTATCTCATAAGTATGACTTACAGTGCCTTCAGAAAGTATTCATATCCCTTGACTTATCCCACATTTTGTTGTGTTACAACCTGAATTCAAAATGGATGAAATAAATAACAAATTTCACCCATCTACACACAATACCCCATAATGACAAAGTCAAAACATGTTTTTAGACACATTTTCCAAATGTATTGAAAATGAAATACAGAAATCCTATTTACATAAGTATTCACACCCCTGAGTCAATACTTTGTAGAAGCACCTTTAGCAGCGATTGAGTCTTTCTGGGTAAGTCTAAGAGCTTTCCACACCTGGATTGTGCAACATTTGCCCATTATTCTTTTCAAAATTCTTCAAGCTCTGTCAAATTGGTTGTTGATCATTGCTAAACAACCACTTTCAGGTCTTGCCATAGATTTTAAAGTAGATTTAAGTCAAAACTGTAAGGCGGCCACTCAGGAACAGTCCCGGTCTTCTTGGTAAGCAACTCCAGTGAAGATTTGGCCTTGTGTTTTAGGTTATTGTCTTCACAATTCATCTGGTGGAAAGCAGACTGAACCAGGTTTTCCTCTAGGATTTTGCCTGCGCTTAGCACCATTCCGTTTCTGAAAAATGAAAAACCTGGTTCAGTCTGAACAATTATCCAGTCCTTAACAATTAAAAGCATACACATAACATGATGCAGCCACCACTATGTTTGAAAATATGGATAGTGGTACTTAGTAATGTGTTGTATTTGCCCCAAACATAACCCTTCATATTCAGGACAAAAAAGTCAATTGCTTTGCCACATTTTATGCAGTATCACAATAGTGCCTTGTTGCAAACAGGATGCATGTTTTGGAATATTTTATATTCTGTTCAGGCTTCCTTCTTTTCACTCTGTCAATTAGCTTAATATTGTGGGGTAACTACAATGTTGTTGATCCAGCCTCAGTTTTCTTCTATCACAGACATTAAACTCTAACTGTTTAGAAGTCACCATGCGCCTCAGTGAAATCCCTGAGCGGTTTCCTTCCTCTCTGGCAACTGAGTTAGGAAGGACGCCTGTATCTTTGTAGTGACTGGGTGTATTGTTACACCATCCAAAGTGTAATTAATAACTTCACCATGCTCAAAGGGATATTCAATGTCTGTTTCTTATTTTTACCCATCTCCCAATAGGTGCCCTTGCAAGGCATTGGAAAACCTCCCTGGTATTTGTGGTTGAATCAGTGTTTGAAATTCACTGCTCGACTGAGGGCCCTTACAGATAATTGTATGTGTGGGGTACAGAGATGAGGTAGTCATTTAAAAAATAATGTTAACACTATTATTGTCCATATAACTTATTGTGACTTGTTAAGGAAATGTTTACTCCTGAACTTATTTAGGCTTGCCATAAGAAAGGGGTTGAATACTTATTGACTCAAGACATTTCAGCTTTTCTTTTTTATTAATTTGTAAAAATGTAAAAAAACATAATTCCACTTTGACATCATGTGTAGGCCAGTGACAACAAATGTACATTTGATCAATTTTAAATTCAGGCTGTAACACAACAAAATGTGGAAAAAGTCAAGGGGTGTGAATACTTTCTCATAATTATGACTTTGTTTCTCATTATTATGATATACTATCTCATAATTGACTTACTATCAGGGTTGGGGATATATAACGGATTATATATATATATTTTAAGTAATCCGTTCAATTACCAGCAAATGTAACATATATGCTTGGAGTCAGGAAGCAGGTGCAGAAGGTAAGTCTAATGATAAGGTAGATACACAAAAACAGGAGAAGCGTGCTGAAGTGACAAAAACCAATACTGCGGCTACTGAGGGCTAAATAAAGGGAGAATAATCAAGGTGACGGTGAGGTCCAGGTGTGCGTAACAATGGGGAGTAGGTGTGTGCAATGATGATTGCCAGGGCCGGTGGTCAGTAGAATGGCGACGTCGAGCGGGAGTAGGTGTGAAAGCAATAATATTGTAATCAGATTACAGATACTTTAAGAACTAGATGATTACTTCTAGGATTACTTTTCAGACCGGATGTTTGCAGAAAAAAAATCTGACACCTTTCGGTTCTCAATGACATTCAAATCAGCATTGAAAAAAGGCGCAAGTTTAAGTTTGTTCCACCTGAGCGAGTCTGACCACAAGTCGGAGACCACTGTGATGACTCACCATATGTATGAACATGTATGCACTCACTAACGCTAAGTCGCTCTGGATAAGAGGGTCTCTTAAATGACTAAAATGTAAAAATGTGTGTGATGGATCGCAGGAACAGGCGTTTATACGCTACAGTCAAAGCTGTCTTCCAATGGTGTGCCTGCTGTCGGCATCCAAAGATCATCCAACTTAAATAAACACTTGGGGGTAATGACGAGAGCAGTGGTGTAGCCTACAGGTGATACGGATATAACTTTTTATATCTACATAG